CGTCAATAAACAGTGATTTCTAAATATGTACTTTTATATGTAAGCTGCAATGCTATCATTCTGTGGACAAAAGTAATTGCGGCTGAGCAAACCTCACACGAGAACTAATCAATGGTTTTAACTATAAACAATGAACAAAATCCTACGACGATTAGTTCTTTCTTCCTCAAGTCAATTGATGACGTACCATCAAACTCAAATCGAAGTACGAAGACGTATCCTTTATCATTCAAATTTTTCTCATTTATCTTACCACTTTGCGTGGGCTGTGCGGAGAGATATGTTGAACGTACACAAATACTTCTGTGAGAACAAACTTCTAACGCATGTTTTTAGTCGTCGTACCTAATGAACTAAACCGATGTAACACGTTTTAAAAATCAATTTGGATATATATAAACAACACGAATTTACATGCGTAGACACCCGCCGATACACGTTGCCTATATTTGGAGGAAAAGGAATTAGCATACAAGCTTTGCTGTGGTGGAAGATGTGCGCTTTTTGGAATACTGAGGACGCGCGATAGTATAGTTGAGAAAGCACATAATTTTAAAAAAAAATCATTTAATAAAACAACATAAAAACTTCAGGGCTGCTAATATACACACATTTGTTTTTCGAATATAACGTATACCCTAAAAGTTTTGACACAAAATTCATTGGCTAACACAAAAGTAATATCAAGTTGCCTTTGGAAACAAAAGTTTGTTTACTTACTTTACTGTCAGTTGACATTTGTTTATTTTGAAGTTTGCGCTTTAAGATGTCGTATAAATTAGAAATAAGAAAAAGTATCTACAAGTCGGCGAACCATTTATCAAACAATAGCGGAGTGCGAGCAGGGATTACCATGTCTGAATCTCCCAAAAAGTGGAAGACCACGTGCATTTACTACACAAAAGTCAGAGCAAAAAATCCGGTTGGAATGTCAACAAGGAGACGTTTAAATAATTTTTTTCATTAAAAAAATCCGATAAATATTTTGTGCCGAAACTTTTAGGACATACGTCAGATAGATGTGTTAGCTTAATCTCATATTGAAAGTTAGGAATGCTATCACGTGAATCTTATACTAAGTGACATATAAATCCGAACACCCAGTTTAAATGGTTTTATTTTAATAAAATTTTGTATAAGTACTTAATGAAGCATAATAAGTAAATGATAAAAATTTCAAAATGATTGCACTGCTTTAAAGCCCTTTGACCTTTAATAATGTGTGGATGCACCCTGATGAGCTACGCATTCTCCAACGCGCCTAGGCATGCTTCTGATCAGGTGGTCAATGTCCTCCTGTGGTATCTCATTCCAGGCAACCACCAACTCCTCTCGAAGTGCTTCTAGAGTCTGAGGAGGACGTTGCAAATTGAGCAATCTCCTACCCATCATATCCCACACGTGCTCAATTGGGGATAAGTCGGGAAATCTTGGTGGCCATGGTAACAATGTGACATCATTATGTTGAAAGAAGTCTATTGTGACTCTTGCAACATGTGGTCGGGCATTATCTTGTTGGAAAGTTGGATCTGCCAGGGTGTCAAGATAGGGTAAAAGATGGGGTTCTAGAACTTCGTGGATATAACGCTGCGCGTTCATGTTACCTCTGATGAAGATTAAAGGTGACCTGGAACCATAAGCTATAGCACCCCAAACCATAACTCCAACAGTGTGATGAACATGTCTTTCAACAAAAAACTGTGGATTCCTCCTTTCACCACGTCGCCTTCTAACCCTGGCACGACCATCGTGCATGCCTAAACAAAATCGAGACTCGTCACTAAAGACAATACTGTTCTATTCCTGATCCCAGAGTGACCGTTGTCTGCACCACTCAAGGCGATTACGTCGGTGTTCTCGAGTTAAAGGGAGGACCCAGTGTGGCCGGTATGAAAACAAGCCAAAACTTCTCATTCGTCGGTAAACACTTCGCATGCCAATAGGTCTTCCGTGTTCTGCAAACCATTCATTTGCAATGGACCTGGTAGTGGAGAAACGGTCCCTTAAGGCCAATAATCTTAGGCGGCGATCTTCACGGTCTGTTGTTCTACGGCGGCGTCCAGTGCCCCTTGCTCTTTGCGTACGGCCTTCTCGAAGCCATGCCTGACAACACCTAACCACAGTGTCTACACTTCTTTGCACTCTAACTGCAATTGCCCGAAAAGAAAGTCCAGCTTCCCGAAGTCCCACTATACGGCCCCTATCAAACTCACTAAGTTGACGAAATCGTACAGATCTCCGTACTCTAGGCATCGTAACCGATCGTAAAGGATGTCAAGAACCAAAATCCGCCAACGTTGCAACCTCGTGAGCAAAATCAAATACGTAGTTCGTTTTTACCCTATTTCAAGCTTTACTCACAGGATCGTGCTAAATCATCTCCTCAATACCTCAGTTGTAAATTTGTTCCAAGGGCGTCATGTATAAACTTCAGGTTCTTAACACTTATACCTTAACCATGCCGATACATAGCACAACATTCTTCAGAAGATAATAATAATAATAATAAAGCATATGTTGCCCAACAGTATACACCATTTACAGAGCAATGGGTAATAAAAACAATTAATGTACTAAATTTACCTAAAACTAACTTGAACGAAATTACAAATTGACACGACACTGGGTTCTTATTTCGGAAAAACTGCAGCAGAAAATGTCACAGACGTTAGACAGTTTGTTCGTGCTTGCACACATTGGATTAATAGGTGCTTTCATTATTACTATTCACTATTATGCAATCTTTGAGAGAAAATGAAATGATCTGATCATGACCTGACGTTATTTTATTTTTTAATTTCTTTCCTGCCTTCAATATTTCTTCCTCCGTTATTGACTCGACACTCACATCCGATGTATCAATGAGATCGTTACTGAATGTTAGGTTCTCTTCGGCATCATTGACAGCCGAAGTGAAGGTGCTCTCAAAAAAACTAACAAAGGCATTTAGACTTTTAGAATCACTAAACGTTTCATTATTTATTATAAATCATCTTGGCTGGGATTCTAGAGGATCTGTTTTTTTGGTGAATAAACGACCAAAATGATTTATGATTTAGCTTTAACTGATTTTGAATATGCTGAAGATAGCATTGATAATCTTCCTTAATTTTCTGTGAAGATCTTTTACTTATAATGCATTTTTATCTTAGGCCAGGATCTGAAGACCATCCAGTCTTACCGGAATCTTAAAGTATAGTTAAGAAGATATTTACAAGAATTGCAGAGCAACCGCAAGCTTAAGAAGTTATTCGATTTTCATACGTTGTATTTTTGATCAGAGTTATTTTTCCGTTTCTCCATAACCTATTATCACTTTTTCTTTTTATAGTTAAACTGGCATTGCTTATTCTATTGTATTGTGGCTTAATCCATCTACTATCACATTTTTTGTTTTGTATAACTCGTTTTTTTTTTCAAGTTACTACTAAGCTGTGTAATAGCAGGTACCAATTCTTGCCCCATGTAGTGTACCATGTTTTGCTCAATATTTTATTATATCCATGAAAATTTAATTTTTTTAAACATTATATAAGTGTAAAGGTCCCACGGTCCGCTCTGACAGATACAACGAATTAGAAATAAATCGACCATACTATAACGTTTCTACGATTGTATACAAGCAAGCGCATGCATGGGTAACGGCAGACGGAATCAAGCATAAATCAGAAGAAAACAACAGAAAGGGTTGTACTATAAACAACAGATGCCGAGCGAGCATATAATGAACATACAAAACAAAGGAGCCGTAACCAACATGAGAAATCCAAATTGGAAATACAAGAAATGAAGACAAGTTGTTAACAGGAAGAACAATTGAAAGGACAACACATTTTTTGTCATACAAGGTTTTGCTACGGGCTATTGACTATCTTTCCATCATAAGCTACAGCTCGTCAAGTGTAGGAACAGATGCGATTTTTGAACAATGTCACGCCTTCTCGGTGCGCAGTGGCCAGAGGTTCAATTCGGCGGACGAAGCAGTAGTCTCTTGTCGTGTCTAGACTAGTTAGCGTACAGTCAGGAGAAAAATTGCCAGGCAGTGAAACAATTTTATTACTTACTGTCTCTAAATTGTATGTATTGTTACGAATTCGTGGGTTGAATACATACCTACAATTTTACGCTATTAATTGTGGCCATTTATAGGCAGAAACAACACGGCAAATGAAGAGCCTCACAATTGAAGATTTTCAGCGATCGTATCAACAGTGGAAACGGCGTTGGCAGAAGTGCATCTTGCCTCAGGGAGAGTACTTTGAAGGAAACCATATCTGTACCCCAGAGCCAGACTAGGTTAAGTCCATTTTTGCCAAAAATGAGTTTAACATGGTAAGCTTACGATAATATTGTGAGTTTTCATTTGCTACATGCAGCGTCCATCTCTCTGTAATAATAAGGAAGTTCCGCTTTTTAACTCATCTCACGTCCCATACAATACAATGCAAGAAAAATATTTGAAATACAATTATCTCAGAACTACTTATTTGGACTTAGCCTAGTCTGGCTCTGAGGTAAAGATATTGAAATGTCTGAACAATTGTAAAATAAAGTTATTATTCCACATTTATACGTATTTTCCAATAAACCTCGTACTTCATATTTTGGAAATATCTTGTAGATTTGGTCACAGTTCAACATTAGTCGTAGTCTATTAAAGGTCTAACTAGGCTACTTTCTAAGCGATCGCGGCAGATAATTGATAATCAATTTTAATTGACCCACGACCTGATCGTGATCTGTTGTCCTTCTGCCACGTGATAACTCTTCGTCGTGTAGAGCAATTATCACTCTTTTATCTCTTAAGCAGCACCGTTCGAAATTAATTAACGACTATTTGGGCACATGACATCGTTCATCTGGGCCTTCAGCGCGTTGTAGGCAAGCCGATCTCTTCGTTTTTAAGCTGCATTTCAAAAAACTAAACTTGTCGATTTGCTGTTTAGTTTACGGTGATGTAGACTGTCCAGCAATTATTTGGTACGTGCCATACTTTTTTCAATCCAGTTTTGTTAGAAGATGTGGTTGCTTACCTTGTTCGCACTCGTTGATGTCTTCGGAGCAGTCCAGACCCTTGTATCCAGATGCGCAGCTACACGTATAGGAACCGTTGATGGGACTTGTATCACAGATAGCGTCAGCATGGCAGGGGTTCGAAGTACACGCGTCATCAAGATGACACAGTAGACCTGGAAAGAAGAACACCATCAGAGACTATGTTGAGACTTCAATCTATCCAGAGTCGAGTAAAATAACCAGATAGATGCAATAGACTAGTTGTTTGTCCAGTACCCAGTAAGGCTATCTGAAGTTCTTATTCAAATTCACTAGATTGAAGTCTTGAATATTTATTTCAATGTTCAAGATCAGTATCATTTTGATGGTATAGGTTTTTTCACATTTGTTTTGGATACTACTAGATTGGCAATCCTTGCTTTCTCTATCAGTCGAAAGTGCCGCTAGGATTTCGATGAGATTTTGATACAGTTTTTCTGTCGTATACCAGGGACAAAAGAGACTTGTTGATTTTGAAAATTGCAACTTTGGAATCAAAGCTGCCCACATAAATATGATTTATTTTCTATAGTTTAAGATGCAGAGTTTTACGATATATTATACTTAAGTGAACATACCTACTCAAGTTTTCATTCCATTAGTATTTTTAATAGGCGTGAAACTTTGTAGTTTAATCCAAGAAAATGTAGTCAATTTAGGTGACGGAAACTTCTTTGTCATAGACTGACCACATGACCGCGACAAAAACTCTTTTCCAAATCGGGATTATGACGACGAGATTCCACAATTGAAGTCAATGAACAGTTGTGTATGTCTTCATGTCCTTTTAACGGCTAATTAAGCCATATATTCATAAACAAAACAATAACCGACAAAGCCCGTTCAGAGAACACATGCTGCTTTTGGACCATTACGTACACATGTGCGAAACATCCATTGACACATATAATAAAAAGACTATAAAAAGAGATTGTTTCAAGATGTAAAGAATTATAGCGCTTTTAAGCTATTACCAGTTAAAATTCTCAAAACGATTGCTCAATTGCTTGTTCTAGAATATAACGGATGAATAGAAAAACAGTGGCAATATATTTTTTTTCTACGATACTGACAACAACTGGAGACAGAACACGAATATTCATGATCACATGACATATATATATATATATATATATAAAATATATGTGTGTGGGTGTCATTTGTCAAATGTTTTATTATACTTATGATCCTGTGCCACACCATTTTGTGCAGCATCAGATTGTTTCACGATGTAACATGTAGTAACTTTCGTTCCAAATATTTTTAATCCGTTTTGATGTGTTTCTGACATACAGCTGTGGTTATTTTATACTAATTTTAACGAATGTACCATGGATCCAGCTTTCACCAGGTTACTAAATGTTTCCCTCAACTTAACCTTTAATAACATTTAGCAACAATCTCACATTCTATTGTAAGTAATTGAAAATCATTTTGCACAATAGTTGCTATTTCTTGTTAATGTTATTACAGCTCCTGATGATGATGGGATAGTCCATTGAAAGCTAGAGACTAATAAAGTATAAATAGTCCTCATTGCCTCAATTTTGTCGAAGTACCCAACTAAAGGGGGAAGTTTTGGTCTAGACGACAATGAGCACGTCTCAAGTTAGATTCATAGATTTGGGGTTTTTTAACACCATCGATGAACATCATGGGAACCAGGCAGTAAGACTGATGAAGGACTGGATCAAGGATATATATATATATATATATATATATATATATAGACGTTTCCCTCATCCTATACGAAAACAACAATTAGCAACATCCTCACATACTACTGTAAGTTGATGCAATTTAAATTCATTTTACACTTTTGTTGCTACTGTTATCATTGTAATTGCAGCTCCTGATGATGATGGCAAAGTCCATTGAAAGCTAGAGAGAATTAAAAAAAGTATAAAGAGTCCTCTTTGCTTAAATTTTGTCGAAGTACCCAACAAAAGGAGGAAGCTTTAATTTTTGACCTATATATATATATATATATGGTAAAGACCATTGAAAGCTAGATAGATTAAAAAAGTATAAAGAGTCCTCCTTGCTTAAATTTTGTCGAAGTACCCAACAAAAGGCGGAAGCTTTAATTTTTTACCTAACTGGTCTAGAGGACAATGACCACGTCTCAAGTTATATAAAGGGTTGTCCAATAGAGACGCAGGAAAGTAAACGTCAATTTGACATAGACGCCATCTTTGTTTTCTGTCACCGACATGTCATTTTGTTAGTTGAATGTTTACCATTGATCGCTATGGAGTCGTATTCGATTGAAGACCGCATTAAAGTTATTCAAGAGCACTACAAAAATGGTGCAAAAATAAAAAACACGTTTCGCGCGTTTCGTGAACATTTCGGTCGCAACAACCGCCCAAACGAAACAACCATCGGTCGTCTGGTGCGTAAATTCGAGGCAACAGGTTCTGTGGCAAATCTGCCAGGCTCTGGCCAGCCAAGGAGCGTTCGCACACCGGAAAATATTGCTGTTGTGAAGGAGAGTGTGAAAGACGATCCGAAACAATCAACAACGCGTCGATCCCAAGAATTGGGCATTTCGAGAACCAGTTTGCTCCGCATTCTCCACAAGGATTTGAATGTACACGCCTACAAGATCCAATTGACGCAAGAGCTGCGTCAGGCCGACCATTTTTCGCGCCGAACGTTCTCAGATTGGCTCCTTGAACACCGCCAAATTGATGCCAATTTTTCATCAAAAATCATGTCCAGCGACGAAGCGCATTTCACTTTGAATGGGACGGTAAACAAGCAAAACTGCCGCATCTGGGCGAACGAAAATCCCCGAGAGTATCAAGAGCAGCCGATGCATCCTCAAAAAGTGATTGTGTGGTGTGCATTGTGGTCAAAAGGCATCATCGGACCTTACTTTTTCGAAAATGCGACCGGGGACGGCGTTACCGTCAATTCTGAGCGATATCACGTGATGATAGAGGACTATTTTTTGCCGCAACTTGGAGGAATGGATATGGACGATGTTTATTTCCAACAAGACGGTGCAACATGCCACACAACTAACGTCAACATCCATCGATTGCAGTCCTTCTTCGGTGATCGCGTAATTTCGCGCAGAGGAAATGTGCCATGGCCACCAAGATCGTGCGATTTGACTCCCTTGGACTTCTTTTTATGGGGATATTTGAAAAGCAAAGTCTACGTCAACAAACCAGCCACCCTCCAAGAACTCAAAAACAACATCATTGCCCAGATAAATAACATAGAACCGACCATGTTGCAAAATGTCATTGAAAATTTCGACCACCGCGTGGACGTCTGTAAATCCAGTCGTGGTGAACATTTGAGCGATATTATATTTCATACATAAATGGTATAAATGAATCTTCAAAATAAAGTCCCAACTTGATTTGAATATCAATCTTTCTTGTTTTAATATGCGTTTGCTTTCCTGCGTCCGTTTTGGACAACCCCATATATATATACATGTATATATATATATATACACGAGTATATATATCCTATAAAAAGCAGGATGTTTAAGCAAAACTTCAATTAAAACCATTAAAGAAACATATTTATTAATACAACAAATCGCAATGGCCATCTAAATGGCTGAATTTAAATTTGTCAATTTGTTTGAGTTTGGGTTTTATTGTTGCTTTTTTCTTATTTTATTCTACGTAAATACATCTGTAAGGTCTACATTGTTCAACAAAATCGGCTAAAGGATCATTACCATTAACGAAAACGAATTCTAAATACACTTTAATATCCTGTATCCTGAGATCTATATATATTTATTTTTTCATAGAATAACCCAAGGTATCCCTTGAAATGTAACCAGGCACTTTATTAATACCCTGTATAACTTCTATATACTGTATGGTAAGGGGTACTTATAGAATATATTTTTCTTTTCTTACCGTTACACCCTACTAAGTAAAGTATAATCCCTATATCATTTTGTAATCGCGAAAAATTTTGAAAATGAGATATTTTTTGGATGTTATATGACATATCCACGTCACTGATTTCCGTCGGTCTCTCTGTCTGTCGGTCGGTCTGTCCACCAATCTTTGATACATCTACGAGTATAACTTGAAAGGTACCGGTCGGATTTTGATGAACTTTACACACAAGGTTACTGCTATGCTAGCGACGAACACGTTAATGTATTTTGAAAATCGGTCCAGCGGAGGCCGAGCTAGAGACAAATATTTTTTGCGTTAGTTGTGCAGCGTTGCGTGGGAAGTGTCAACCTACTTGCAGCGTTTTTTTATGGAATATTTTTTGGTCTCCATAAATCTATGGCAAACTCCATTTATAAATCAATAGAAAACACGTTGAAAGAATTTTCGTCGTAACAACAGTATTGAAACGCAACATCGGTAAGGCAGATCACGATCCATCGTTCGCTTGTTAGGAAAGCCCCTGCCGACAAAGCCCTTTTTATGAGAAGGCAACACGGAGTTATTATGGGTCTGGCGTATATCTAAAGTGTCGTGTCATTCGCCTACAATTTTTCTAACATGGAGAGACAGAACCAGAGAGAGAAAGAGGCTTAGACTAGCCGCGGGTATAGGCGATAAGTTCGATCAACTCGCTACAACAGCGGCGTGCCTCTATTTTGGTTTGTTTGTAACCAAAAACCATCTTGATAGCGGCAATATGTTTTTTGGACTTTTTGTTTACTGTATCAGTTGATCTGTCACTATACTTTAATCCTCTTGATATCAGTAGATATTGCTTCAATTTGAGGCATTGCAAGGGACATGAAATGGACCTGTTATAGGCGATGAGGCTTTTTGCAAAAATCGTATTGAGAGTCACATTTATTAACATTCCTTGAGAATTGTGTGCCGTTTAGTAAGAGTGAATTTGATAAAAAAAATCTGAAGAAGAGATACTAGACAAGTTGAAAGAAATAGCTGAAAATAAAAAAGAGATAGCTCCTCCGCCGATCTTGGGATAAAATCCAAGAGCACGAACTGCTATGAAATTATCACAATGATTCGGGATCACAGGTACTTGTAACAAAGTAATTTCATTGTTTCAAAAAAGCCTAGCTCTCAAAATTAAGAAATAAACCTTAGTTCAAAGACATACATGTCTTAGAAACATAGGTCCTCAATTCACGCTAGTTATCCTTGAACCAAGAGCGCTC